ACTATGATAAAAGGAATTATATTATATAACAAAGGGCAAGGTCACCAGAGTTCAACTATGTTATTTAAAGGGCAGTTGTTGTCGTACTGCGCATATGCAACATTTGTATTGATAAACATTGATTTTCCCACAATCCGATGCGCTCTTCTAATGGAAATAACAAGTATGAGGTTTGATCTGTACACAACATGCACTAATTGCCGTCAATGACTCCTTCAACACCTTCCAATCACCTAAAATACCTAATTAAATCTTGATTACATCTAAGTTTGTCTTGTGCATGGTGTAACGACTTCTGTACCAACCTTTAAGGTAAATAATGACCTCCAGTCTGTGTGCTTCTTTTAACTGCTTTACCACCAGACTTTCTCCCTCTAATTTAATTACTGTGGAATACTTTATTTTCGCTGGAATTAATTTTCGCTGAAAAGGCTTTTTGGGCGTTTTGCCTGGAATTTATTTTCACTGATTTTTGATGAGTTTAATGTGAAATATAGTAAAAAAAGTATATTCGCTGGATTTTATTTTCACGGAATCATCCCTTCAGCGAAAATAGTGAAAATAAATTCCAAGCGAAAATAAAGTGTTCTACAGTATTCAATAATTTTAGAAATGAACATTAATTTTGGAGCCAACATACAAAAATTAGGTAAATTTTCAGTTTGTCCCAATCTTGTAACAGAAAGTGCAGACTATGAAGAGGACTATTGTGTGGTGAAAATGTTAAATGAGTTGAATAATGAATTCTTATTCAAGTAATTCAGATGTGATGGTATAACAGGGAAGGCTGAAATAAAATAAGTTTTGCTATGTTCAAATGATGACTTCTAATTCCTTATAGTCTCATTCATCTAAATGAGTTTTTTCTTGACTGAAGTTTTGTACAAATAAATTGTCTATTTCAAATTGTGTACAGCTCTAATTAGTGAAATCTTGACTGCTTAATTAACAACACTGTAACTCCACTCATGTGACTCGGTTATGTCAGCCATATGCATTATGACATAGCATGTTTGTGACAATATACAAAGACAATTTATTATTAAAAGTCATTATAAATGACATAGTTTCCATCAAAAATTTAAATGTTGAAATCATACAACAACAATGAAATTGAACTTTTATAGTAAACTTTGGGACAGAGGAATAGATTGACATAGTGAACCAAAAAATTTCTGCCAGTCAGCCATCTTAAATCAAACGCCCACCCCTTCTTTTTGGCAATTTTCCTTGTTCAAGACCCTGGGCTTATACCCGGATAAATACGGTACTATCAGCATTCAAAGTTTAAGATTGATTTTACATTCTTATATTTCTGGTGGGAAACATTTTAAGTTTGGGGAATTAATGATTTTATTACCATATCAGCCAAATTTGAAATCAAAGTTACGTGCATATTTGAAGTGAAGTCATGTCTGTATTACAAGTTTTAATTTAATTTTTTCAATGCACGCCAGAGAAACAGATGGGGACATACTGTAAAAGGGTTAATTATTCACTGTGTTTTAATTTTGCTTATTTTCACTGACTAGAAAATTCGCATCGAACACTATATCTAAATAATAAAACAGTGAATTAAAAAAACCATTGGTAAATCAGCGAAATTTAAACCCAGTGAAAATTACGTAGTCCTTTTACAGTAGTCATAAAAACAAAATGCCCACAAGTCTACTATGTAGAATTACAACATGCATCCTGCACCGATGTGTATTGTCATCTTACCAAGTCAGTTCAGTCATCTTTGAGAACCGACTGTCGACACGTTCAGGTTTTAGCATTTAATGATTGTATTACCAACATGGCCGCCAATCAGCAGATTATAGATTACAAAACAAAAGTAGCTTCATGTGTATGAAATGATGTCACCAACATTGACATGGTGACAAAATGACTGAGTTGACCATCCTTGAATCAGATCTCAAAAAAAACGTGCAGGTGGCACTCAATAAATATTGTCACCATGTTTGATTGAGATTGGCAAAATCATCTTAGAGAACAAGTCATGAACAAGTTCAGTATTAGAATTTAGCCATGTTTTATATCAAGAATGGCCATAAGTCGGCCATATTTTATTTTCAAAAATGTGCATTAAGGTAAAGACGTACTCATGAATGAAACATTTTGTAATAAATTGTATTTCTGAGCAATATAATATTGACTTAAAAAAAGTTGAATCTCACCAACTTAATATTCAAGATAATGATGGTTGTATTTTATTGGATAGTGACTTTTTTGACAGTATTATAACACTTTTATGATAACTGTAGGCTGGTGACATAGACTTAAAATTAATATATTGTTAATGATGAGGTATTTTTTGTCGTTTTCAAGTATTTCAAAATCTTGGTTTTAAAAAGTGTCACCAGCGCAATCTCCAAGGAAATTATGGTTATATTTTAGTTGATATTGTCCATTTTGACAGTCTAGTGCTTTTACCATAGGTTTCTATGTCAGAGATATTATGTCATATCTCAAATTACAGGCTGGTGACATAGGCTGAAAAATTGTTATTATCCTAGAATATCTTGATATGGGTCTGATGCGCTATATACAACATGTGTAAAATACATTGTTTGTTTACGTGAAATTAAAACATGCGTTGCCAGGCAACCACCACCCTTTAATATTGTGCTGTATAGAATTGTTATAAAAATAATGATTTTTGAAAAATATTAAGACAAAAATATGTCTCAAAATACGTTACTGTAATACAAAAAACAATACTATTGCATAGTGTCATGTGACAATAGCTCCAAACCAATGAATATTGTCATATGATTATGACATGAGTATGTAACATAATGTATTGTCATCATACATGTTATAAAAATGGCTTGGATGGAAATAAAAATTAATTTTCCAAATTATGAATATTATGATTTATTTTCAGAATAAGAAATCATATCAACAGTCTCTTCATAGAGACTCAGAGGATCTGATGTATCACCTATACACCGATAGAGGGCGCAAGTTTTATTTCCTTTGGGTCTATATTGATATTTTGCTTCGTCTTGGATTTACTTTTCTCAGGTGTGCTTTCTTTTTGCGCTCACTCCTTGTTTGAGGTTTAGAGACCAACCGTTCAATAAATGGAGGGGGATAATTTCAAGGAGCTCCTTTGACAAATGTGAACTGACTGCTCAGCAGAGTCGTCAAGTTTATATAGTCGTCAGAGTAAAAAATAAATCAAACGAAATCAGACAATGTCACGTGCCTAGCTGATAACTATTTAGTAAATGTGTGTATGAACATCACATTGCGCAATGCATCATGGGAAATCTTAGGCCTGTCTGATTCACGTACGTATCTATGCATAATTAATGAGCTGTGTAGAATAACGCAATGACTGCTGATAGAGTACACAGCATTGATGTCGACTGTCGACAATGGATGGTAAGCAACTCGTGCCGTCGTGTTTAAGGTGGGTCGCATGTATAGGTTGTCTTGGAAACTTGTTGAGCGCATTATTTTAATTTACCTCAGACTTTGCTATGAGTGAACATTCATCAAATTCCTAGAAAAGACACATATATATTTTATGAGTGAATACATATATATATTCTTGTTTCTTTTATTGTCAATTATTGACACTTTCGGAACAGTTCACCCAATTACCTCGCGCGCATTTACCGTTAAACTTTAGCATGTGACTGTGTGTAATATTGCAATTATTGCAAATGTACATTTCATTGTGTCACTTTCACATTGTACATTGTGACACGTAACACATGTACATTTCACTGTAATCTACACTATACACTGTAAAATAGCTTACAACTTAAAGTAGAGGACACCCGTCACACGGCTTGCAGGTCGGTTCCTACATTCTCGTTGATATTTTATTTC